AACCCTCCCTGTCCTTATGGCATTAATGAGTTTTACTTTCAGTCCCATCTTCTCTCATTTTAGAACCTCCCTTTAGGGGACAACATACATTTCTGCATTTCCAGTGTTTTCAGATAACCATTTTACATTGACAGTTTGCAGCTTTCTCTCAGCTCTTGTTTTTCATTGGCACCACATCTTCAATTATCTTTCAAGCTTGCAAATGTACCCATCAAAAACTCAATCAACTCCAGATGCAAAGTTTCTCCAAGGACGTAGGTCTGACTTCTCTGCTGTGCACACCCCAAAAAGCCCCACAGTAGCCTCTGGCAACCTCAGTTACCTGGTTCAGTTGAGGCACCTGAAGATGGACTACATGTACCAGGGCAGAAGCATGCACAAGGATTTACTATGTTTTGCATCCAGTTGGAAGAAAGTTATGCATAAATTACCAGAGAATTTTGTTTTTCCTGGAACAAACTGTAATATGCATGTGTGCATTTAAATGAGGGGGAAATATGCTATATGTAAACATGAATCATAAAAACAAATGAGCCACAGCACAAAGCATCAGGTTGTGCACTGTAGTTTCTATTTAAGGATATTTTAGTTTTGTAGGTTTAAAGAGACCCATACCATTACTGTAAAATCATTCTTGTATTTATGCTTTCTATAATGTTCAGCAGCTATGAATTTGGAGTTACAAGTTTTCTAAAAGCTGTATCCAATTACAGTGCTGAATGATTTGAATAATAGACTGCCTGACATATTCCAAGATAAGTGGCTGCTACATTTCTTTGATATTAGGGTCATATACTGTACTTATCTATTTTTACTCCATGCTCTCCATTGCCTAGTAATAAATTAATTTCTCACTATTAGTTTGGCATGTGCCCTACAGTTAAATCCATTTTCTCTCCCATTGAAGGGAGAAAAAGTTTTCTGAAGTATGACAACTATCCTCCTTATTTTTAGAATTAGACATCACAGAGTAAATTCAAAATACTATTTTAAGAGGGACATTCCCACATAAAGTCTTAAAAGCTGTTTCTTTATTCTCATGCTTAGAAAATTACCTGATAGTGCTGAACAACGTGTGACAGTATTTAACTACTTGCATGTCAGATTTTTTATGATATGTGGATAGCGTTTAATTTTTGTTGCTTCCTGGTCTAAAAACCTCAGCAAAGGACCTCACGTACATCTGCAATTATCATCAACAGCAATGAGAGTTGAGCATAGATCTGAAAACAGAATACAGCTCAAAACTTGTAATCATTATCCAGCTAGCAACAATTAGTTCTTATGTGATTTAGGTTGTTTCCAGACCAGGGAGTATGAGGAGATGTTCCAGCTTTTTTTCTGGTTATGTGTTTTACCAGGAACTCAGCAGTATCAAGAAAGAGGCATTTTGCAGAATCAACCCTTTCATGCGGAACTTTTTCTGCTGTTTAGCCTAGACTTTCAAGCTCTTTCTAACACCTCTTTTTCATTGTGGCTACCTTCTGAAGAATGGGGAGAAGCAATTTAGCAAACAAGTAGAGGCAATCATGAGGAAAGCAAGCATGAATAAGGGAGTGGAACATGTGTTCATGTACTGTAGATGATGAAAGGACTAGAGATAAACAGGGTATGTTCTCAAGCATCCCACGTTGCTGATTGCTATCTTTAACTTACCCTCAAAGATGATCATTCTGAAGTAAAGCAAAGACACCAGATTCATTCTTAAGCTAACTCAGAGCCAGAGAAACAGATGATTGCCTGTGTTTTGAGCTGTCATAAGCTCAAACCATAAAGGATGGCAAAGAAGCAATTGTGGGATTCCCGTCACAGGAATATCAACATATTTGCAGTTAAACTCAGGCTTTCCACCTAACACTGCATAATGCACTGCAAAGTAACATGGAAGAGAATTTCTGGCATTTTCAGTCTCTGTGACAGGTGAACCACTACGTATCAAGTAAAGCAAAATGCATGTCCACAGATTGTTACTATTCCGCTTGAAATTTAAATTGCATCACAATTTTCTTAGATAAGGCTAATATCCAACTTATTATCTGAAAGTCTACCTTTTCAACACCAAATTTTAATGCCTGTAAACACGAAACTGATTCATCAGCTAAGATCTCTTATTTCTTGAGTCAAATCATTCATGCACCTTCTTTATACAAGAAGTATTTGATTTTGCAAATGTATCGCTCCCAAAGCCAGCACAAAGTACTTTACCAGCAATTATTAAAATTGCAGTGTAGGTTCTACATACCAGCCTCATTAGGAAAAAGGCTGGGCTAAAAAAAGGCCTGTGCCTCTGGTATTTTTTCTCGTCACTCCCATCCACTTTCACAAAGATAAGTACCCTATGTTGTACTCCTGCAATTCCCACTTAAATTGCAAATTTAAGTTGGACACACACAAAAACAACCAAAAAAGAACACCACAAACTGTTATCCTTTCCCCCAGCAAAGGTATGCCTTGTACCTCTATTTTGCTAACCTTAATTAGACCTATAGTTCTGAGATTCCCTAATGGAAAGTGCTACAAAGCAGAAAGCACTAACAGAATGAATCGCGACATACTGATACACCAGTCATTGTAAATCTATACCCTTTTTATTTGCACCCAGGGGCTGTGCTTTGTATACTCATAAAACATTACTTCCAAGTAGCAAAATGTCATAATCGGAGGCATGTAGAGTAAACAAACAAGCTGAGTATTAACTGGTATGTGATTTTCTTGTAGTTTAATAGCGTAGCAACTGGATGATTTGAAAGATTTGTGTAGTTTGGATACTTAATTTGTGAATTAAGTTTTCCCTGAAGCACAGAAAAAGATAGATTGAAAGAGAAGGTTAAAAATCCTTGAAGGCATCCTTCTCAGAAATGTAATATTCATACTTTTCTCCATGTTTCAGAATGTAATTATTACAGATCACAAAAAGTTGTCAGACTTGTGTGTAAACCAGAATTTCATTCAAGACCTTTATCAGTGAAAGTACTTGAAAAAAAAAAATCACTTTAATGATTGCCTCAAAAACATGGAAATGACTAAAATCAAGACACACACACACATCCTCCCATACAGTCACCCACCATATTTTTTAAAGGCTACTTACATGAATGACTGATGAACTTGACAGACTTAATCCCTCTAGGTCTGCTGTTAAATTTGGGGACAAGATAGCTGCTGTAGGAACTGCCACAGGAGTTGTCACAGGACAGACTGCAAGTAAAAAGGTAAATTGATATTTAACTCTAAAAAATATAAAATACTGAGAAGGACAATGAGCTATTTTCAAAAAGGTTTTAAGTCTTGATCTAACTACTTTATCCTTGTATATATGTTTCTTAAAAGAGGAATATTATTTTTTCAGACATATAGACCCAATACTCAAAATAAACAATGAAAAATATTTTTTCCCTCTATTTTATCCTTCAGTCTGATCCATGCTATGCAACACATTTTCATTTACCAGTTACGTGCAAAGCACATCTTAATGCAATTCTAACATATATTGCACCTTTAAGCAAACTTGAAGAAAGGAACCACACAAAGCAGAGCCCAAAACCAGTGCCAGCTCTGCTCTATGCTTCCAAGACTCCTTTATTCTATTCTTCAGAACTGCAAGTTTTAGTATCTTATTACAGTCCCACAATTGGTTCAGTTCATAGGTTGCACAGATACAAGTAATATTCACTAGCACCTGAGAAAATAAGCCCACTTTCACAGAAAACAAGTCCAGACATATTAAAATTCTCAAAATAAATGTTTTGCACACCAATACATTCAAAATCTTGAAACTATTTCTCAGTTCTAAAACAAATAAAATCAGATATTGTAAAAATTATGCTTAAAAATAAGCTGATAGTCTTAAGCAATTTTTTTTTTGTCAGGAAGCTGGCATGATAAATGAACAGAATCAGTATTTCAGACATTTAAAATTCCTTGAATTAACTGAATTGAATTTATGCCAGGGGAAATATGAGGCTTGTAATCAAGATACTTACAATCATCTAAATCTAAGAGAAACACATCTTGTTTATTTGGAGCTTTTCTATCTTGTACTGGTTTTTCTTCTTTCTGTCAAAATACATAAATATTTAATCTTTTACCATATCAGCAAAAGAAAAGTCTTTAATACTTTAAAAAAATCAAGTGTATTTTCTCTGCTGTAAAAGCAAAACATCCATTTTCAGGGCTCAACATTCAAAGAATTTACTTACTGAGAAAGATTTCTTTGTACACGTAAGCTGAACCTAAACTCCACATTTGATTTACATTTACTCCTCTGAAGACCATGTTTACATTTAATATTAATAACAGTTGCTACTCAAATAAAACTTTTGGTGACAGGTGAGACACTTCTGTTGAGACCATTGAAAGAGAGACAGAAGCTCTTTTTTTGAAGACAAAAGACTCTGATACTAACATTTCTGTTTCTATAGGAAAAACAGTACAAAACTAATTCAATAATAAAGTAGTGCAATTTGCTCCTGTATGAAATCTGTTCTGTCATCTACTGTGATTTTACTTAGTTGCTTGATAAAGAACAAAAAGGTGTTTTTTGTCACAAAAGACATTTAAGTTTTAAGTTTTAGGATGAGTTCTAATAATAAGGATTGGCAGTACTTTAAGTAAAGAGCAGAGCAGTAATAGAGTAATCTCAGTGACTTGGCAAACAGAATATTGCAACGAATTTGTTTCAATACAGATAAATAAAAAGTTCTAAACAAATCTAGTAAGAGTGAGAGCGCTGGTCATATCTACACAACACATTTACACAGTGATAATTCAGGACAGAATTTAGCGTGTCATAGATCAATATGGACTCCCAATAGGGGGCTTTAGTAAAAAAGACTTATCTTTGGATGTAGCCAGAACCCGGACATGTTACACACTGGATGCTCATCAGACAGTTTGTCATTGTGCTATTCCTACCCACTCTTAAGCGTCCTTTATCTGGATCAGCTCAAGAATTCCTTCTGCCTTTGCTCTCCCTGGCTCATTCACTGGACATAAGGCTTCATCATTCTTTCAGAGAATTTGCTGACTGCCTTTAGACCTTAAGACACTACTCACTACCCAAGATATTGCAAGTAATTTAAACGCAGTCTTTCTAGGAGTTACACTTCTGTGAACCTTCTAGTTTACCAGTTTCCTCTTCAACAGCACATGGCAGCCAAATGCATACACATTTATTATCCTATTACCTTTTCTAATATATGAATAGGTCTAAATAAATCAGTAAAACTCTGTGTGTCCATTTGGGCCTCCATTTCTTGAGCATTAATTGCAAGCTGTCACAGTCTCTTCAGTTACTCAGGATACAAATTTCTATAGGAGCTTGCAGTCAACTCAGAAACTCAGCAGTTAGAATCACTTTCTTTGACTATCACTATAGAATAAAATGACCCTTCTTTTCTAAAAGTGCATTCCCTTTCTTCTAGTCTCTCTGTCTCATGGTCAGTTGCAAACTAATAATAATGCAGAGGCTATTGTTTTTCCAATTTTGGGAGAAATTCCATGGTTCCCTCCAAGGAACATGGAAGAAACTAGCTAACGTTCTTGGTATTTTAAGTCCTTGATGTTAAAGATTATCAGGCTTGACCTGAACCAAAATGCCATTGCTCGTAATTTTCTTCCAATAAACCCATGGCTCAAACAGACAGTAGGCACTTAGGTGATCATGACAGATGTGCTTTAGATATTCTGGGAGGAGAAGAATCCTGTAGAGAGAGAGGAATGGAAGCCACTATTTTAAAAAATTATTTAAAAATCAACACACTTCAATGGTCCTTATTGCTATGGTATTTCAGTGTTCTACTATCGCTGATTTATCTGAAACACAAAACTCCTCCAGAAAAAGGAAATCTTACAAAATGTCTTTAAAATGGTGCTAATGTTATTCCATTACTGATTTGCCTGGTCCAGAATTAGTGAAGGACTGTGCTGCAGAACCCACTCTCTTGAGTTCCATTCTGGTCACAGCTACCAGGCTTCTTTTTTCTCTTCCAGTGTGATTATTGGCTAGTCATTAAACTTCTTTTGGCTATTTTTTTTTTAAATCTGTGAAATAAGGATACTTCATAAGCTATAGATTCTACTTGAATTGCTCATGTCTATGAAGTGTCAGAGAAGCAATCTGACGACAATTCTTTTAATGAATTCCAAGTCTTTTTATAGCATCATTTGTTGAATATTTAGCCTTGAATCAGGGATTTAGCTGTTATCTGTAGCACTTTTACTATAAACTATGTATCACAACTTTTTTCATAAACTACAAACTCTTCAGACACCAGAACATACTAACAGAGAACATGGTTAAACAAAATGTAAATATATTTTAAAAATGCCTCCCTTCAATTTCCCAACTCTTTCACTCCCTACCCCCACTTATCCATAAAATACAATTCTATCTTCAACTATGATTAAAGCTCAAAGGTTATTTTTATCTAGAGTTTTATATTTGCTAATTATTACAGTAGAGATGGGATTTCTTAATTCCCTTTTATTGTGCAGCCAATTAAAAGTTTATGAAAAGTGGCTCACCCGCGTGACAGGCACAAGGATGAGAATTTAGAATACGCTTCATTTCTGCCAATGGCAGCACTGCTTGGTCAAGATGTTTAAAAAAAATTAGGAATCAAAGCCAAGAAGTCCTCTTACTGTTTATCTGTTTACTGAAGACAATTAAGATAGTGCATTCTATGTCACAAATAACACCAATACTATGCTTTAGTTAATTTTTTTCTGTTATTTATTTTGCCATTCTAAAGTAGTCACTAAGTACATATCACAAAGCTTGATATGTAATTTTATAAGATGAAATGCATTTCTGCACTGATATTTTTTTGAATCTGTTATGTAACTAATCTGTAAAAATGGGGGAAAAAATCCTTCAAGAGAATTTATTTCTTATACTTGAAAATAAAATACAATAAAATGATCCCAAGATGAGTCACAAGTACAGAATCATTACATCAAGGTAATGCATGGTAAGAAAAACTTTCACTGCACACTTTATACAGTACTGTACTTAAGCACATCAGTTTACTGTAAAAAACACTAAACACCCCCCCCCCCCCCCCAAAAACCAACACCCCCCCCCCCCCCCCACACACACACATAAAAAACCCCACCCCAAAACCAACCCTACCATCTGGGAAGTGTAAAATTGGAAGCTAACTAATTCAAGATAAAGCTAATGTTAAAGTATGATCACATTTTATTTTCTACTTCAGTCAACTGTGTCAAGCTTAAGTAAGTACTCAGCTAGTTTAATGTGTGTGTGTGCACGCTATATATACACATAAACACACAAATATTTTCATATTTATATGTATATTTCTGAGAATATATATTAATTGTGTGCAATTCCATACAAAACGCTGAAGAAATCTATTTACAGGGGTCTTGCCTATTACAAACATGATTATTTTTTTAAGTTGTTTTTTCCAAGAAAATAAAATTGATTGGCTTTCTAGGAATAATAAATAGCCAATGATTGCAACAAATACTACCAAGAGATATTCATATTGAATGAAAAAAGTTTTGCATTCAAATCAAGACAATAAAAAGTCTCTGATATGTCTAGCATTTCTCTGTAACATAATTTTTCATCTTTTTTCTTAAAACTAAGTCTACAATATAACCCAAACAGTTTGCTACCAAGAGAGCCCACTACAGGAAAAGCAGAATATTAAACAAAGAAGTTAAGCTATATTCCATCAAACATTTCTCCATTTGCAATTCATCTTGGTAATAGAGATAGAACCTGGTAAATGCATATAGGACTTGAAGCAGGAGATTTCTCTTGCTCTATGCATAATTCATGTGCTCCGCCTGCAAAGTGTGTAAAATGAGAATTTCACACCGCAGCATGAGCCATGGAGCTGCAGAGAAAAGGCAGATGAAATCATATTTTGCTGTGCGAATTTTATTTCTTATCCTCCCAATATTTATACAAAACCATCATTGACAATCCAAACGCACAGACAGATCACCCACTGTTTCCATTGTGTTAGCACTTGAAAAGAGATCAGGCAGAAAGATAGACAATTTGTTTTTGTATATTTTTTAAATAGTAGATCAGGTTTTTAACAGCTGAGTGACTGTATTATACTTGTATAAGGAGGTCAACAGTAGCTGATTTTAAAATCCCACTGTAGAGACACCTACTTATATATGCATCATCCTCAAATATGCATTTTAGCTCTACAGTATTTATGTGTACAGTATAATACATATCTGAACACCTCAAACTATCCATATTTCAGAATGAAATAAAACACTGTGGTACAAGAGAGTGACTTTTCTGTTCACTGCAGCTCAATTACAATGAACACAACAGCTTTTTTGAAATGATTCTTCAAGAGAAAAAATATGAAAGCATTAATAATATATTCAGGAAAAATAAGCAGAAGTTTTTGTAACCTATTTTAAAGCTAGTAAATGCATGGATGTATGCATTAACTAAGCTCCCATATGAGTGTAATCAAATCTTTTTTATTATGAAAATTCTGCTGAACATTGCAATGGTACCCAATAAAACACAGAATGTTAAACACCACCCAAAACGTCAGCTATGTAACATAGTTCATAATGTGTGGCAAACTGAGAAACTTAAAAATACGGCCTACTAACTACTCTTCTTATCAGTATGTGTTTCAGAAAATCTTTTCAGTTTTATTTAAAATGAAAGGAAATCCTAGTGAATCATCTCCCCATATACAATGACTAAATTAAGAATATCCTATAGGAGAATAATATAAACAATAGCTTTTCCAGTAAAAATCCAGCAGAATAAAAACATGCATTTCTGAGAGCCTGGCTGAAACCATCTGCTTCCTGGGTGGCCTGAAAAGAAGTCAGGTAGGAAGAAGAAAAATTCCAAGATTTTCCTGGAAATAAACTAAATATAGATGGTTTTTGTAAAATGTACCTTGACACAAGGGCTCTATGCAAGACTTTATCAATAATGTTCTTCAAAGTTGATTAACAACTGCTTTCCTTTCTGGCTTGGAAGGACTTATCTAGGTTATCATCAGTTAGCTCCACCTATCACCACAGGGCTCTAAACAGACATCTCTCCAAAAAAAAAAAAATCTATTAAGCTAGTTAGCCTGACAATCACCTTTGATACAAAATACCTGTCATTCTTGCCCCCACACCCTCATCCAATTATGCTTCTAAATATAAGTATCAGAAACACCTCAAGTATAAAGGCAGGCATCCAACATGGCTTACATGGAAACTTCATGGTCCTAGAGAATAATATAGTACACTGAAACAGTCCTCTAAGTTCAAGAGCATGAAAATAACTTCCCCCCTGCCTCCTTCATATATGACCATTGCTGTTTACAGTCCATCAGCCCTAGCTTCTTGTCCTTACATTAAATGTGCTAATTTCTTAGTGAAAAAGAATTTAAGGAACATAGACATTTAGCTTTTGCCTAGTGAGCTCTATGCTATCTTTTCTTTTCAATAATCCCCTTGCCTCTTTTCCTGTTGATACACATATAAATCCATTGTTATTTGTTTTAATATTTTTTGTGATGTTTAAAAGCTTTGCAATTTTTCAGTTCCACCCTTTGACTCTCATCAAGTCATCTGTTAATTGCTTATAAATACTTTTTGTTCCTAAGACATTTCCTTTCAGGTGCTTCTTAATCAAGTAAACACTTGAGGACCACTGCAACATTCTTTCTCTTCTCTTAAAATCCAAGGGCTTGACAATTTTCCATTGACTCAACAAAACAATGCCAAGCTTCATGGACATTCCAGTTCTCATATTATTCAGTATATCTGACTTCACACATTCTCGACTGCTGTTTTAAAGTATGGAAAGCTTCTTTAAGCTAGTAGCCTGATGTATCCTGCAAAAGAACCAGAACGGTTCAAATAACTGAAGTGAAAGAACCACGAACAATGGCACTGATATCCTGAGAAAAACAGACAAACACAGCAGAGAGAAGACACTATTGTTTGAACATAGTTTTGCAGCGGCTGCTCAGAGCTGAGCAGGTCAGATCACCTATTATTTTTTTGGGAAAAAATACTGTGCTAATATGAGAAGCTGCAAACTCTTAGAATTAACTGATGTCCTATCTAGGGTCAAAGGAGTTTATTCTGAGAGGATTTAAGTTACATTTGTTGTGCTACTATTTTTTGGCAAGATCCAGTTTGGCTTGTCTACTAGAAAAAACTCTGACATAGGTGTGTTACCCAATGCAGTATTTGGGCAAGAAACAATGATCAAACCATGGAAACATAACTCCATTTCTCAAATACTACAGTCTCACTTCATCTTTTGTTCTACCTGGTAGAAGAAGGAAATAGATTAAAAGGTAAGGTTACAATTCAGAGTTCCTAGGTGGACCTATAAAGTTACAAAATAAAGACCACGTACAACATAATTTCAAGATTGGAGAAACAGAGAGTCTTACCTCCTCAAATAAAGGAAAAGCACATTGAAAAAGCTTATTAAAGTTACAGATTTCCCTCTTAACTGTTCAAAACACACCTGTCCACCAGCTTCTACAACTGCATCAAATGTAACAAACAATGTCTGTTTTGACTATTCAGAAATCTATACAGGAGACCTGACTGAAACATCTTGGCTTAATTTAAAATACATCACAGTATCAATTAATTTTCAAAACCACATATCACTATTAAAAGGAAACTTCTGAGCTACAATTTTACCCATCAAATTTTTCTAAAATATATTGAAAGAAACGTACAGGAAATATTTGATAACAGAAAAATAAGTTTGAGAAACTCTTTTACTCTTCTTCCTTAACAGATTTAGCATAAAGTTCCTCAGTTATTTATTTTTTTAAATTAAGAGGCAAAGAAACAGAAATCAGTCCATGCTATCTGCTTTAGTTCTATAATGCTAGCTTAACCATAATGAACTTTTAACCTCTTTTTCTTCACTAAAGTGAACAATTAAAATTTAACCGAAACATGAATGGCTCTGTTAAACATCTCTGCATCTTCACACATTTCCAAAGGCAATTTTAAAAAGACATATTTGAAAGTTTGCTACTTCATAAGTGTTGTAAGAAAGCTAATACAAGTTGAAGTAATGGAACCCTTTATAAGTTTTATTCCTATCAAACAGAGTGCAATAAAATTTGATTACTCAGTAAAAATATTAATTCTACTAATCTACTTATACATCTCAAGTATAGAAGCATTAACTGCAGTATTTCCAACTTTAACAGGTAATTTAAGAACAAAGCTAGTGGTTCTACTAGACTGGCTTCAAACTCTTAAGAAAGAATCTACCAACATTTGTTTCTTGTTTTTTGCTTCCTGTCAGACCCAGGTCCTGTAATAGTTATACTTTAAGACCTCATTTTAATATAATAATCATCCTAAGTCAGGATATTATTATTGCGAACTATCCGTGTACTATGTTTTTACCAGTTCAACAGCAATCTAAAAAAATAATTAGTATCTATTATTCTTCATCTATCTGGAGTAAAAATATAACATAATTAAAACTTAAATATGCCTTTCATCACAAAATATTCTTATTTGATTAAACTATCAAACTACTTTGGGATTGTTTTTTTAATGAAAAGTTAAACGTTTTTTCAGAAATTCTGTTTTTTTAGATATCCATAAAACCACTACGCATCTCCATTTCCAGAGAAAGAAACATATACAGATGGTTAGATGCATCTTTTCATATTTTATAGAGTTTGGTTTTGTTGGGTTTTTTAAATTATTTTACCTTACTAGAGGTAGCACTTCTAGATTTTCCAGACGCACAGTCACTTTTAGAGTCTGATTCTGACTTGGAGTCTGAAGAACTTTCTTCTGATGAAGTGGACTCTGTATCAGAGGAACTGGATATGCTTCCCGTTTTGGAGATCCCCTTTGTTTTCTTTCCAATGTCCTCTGAATCACTACATATTGAAAAAAGAAATTTAAGAGACATCTAAAACCACCAAATCCTAAGATAACATTTCAAAGTTTTATTAAATTAGTTTTAAATCACTATTTCTTCATTATAAACTCAGCTAAGATGGCAGAAGCAGTAGTTTATTTAAGGGTACACATTCCTCCATCACTAATCTAAATCAGTGAAACAGGTAAACAAAAATGTGAACATATTAAATATTAAAAATACTATTTGCATGCATTAAGCTTGTGACATTTCAGAAAGAAGTTTTATATGAAGAAGCTTTCAGACTATTTCACCTATGGTTAACAGAATCTGGATGGGTTATAAGATGTTTTTGCGAAGTAGCATTGCTTTAAAAAAAAAACAAAAAAACCAAAAACAATGCATTAAATTTATTCCTTGGCTAATTCTGCTAAATCAAACCACCTAGAAATAAGGTCTATAATATGTACCAACCCATCAAAGAATTTATAAAGAAAAGCTATTACATTCTGACACCTTTGGTCATATTGAGTACCTTACAGCTAATGGACTACAGAGACACTATTCTTCATACAGTAAAGTTCTGTTCACCCTGGCAATGTTGGATTATGTTGTTCTGTGCCATCAGCTACTGAAGATTATTAAAATCTGCTTTGTTCACTTCTAATAATACTGAAATTACCAATAGTAGATTAGCCTTTTGTCTTGGTGGACGTTACTGCCTAAAAATATCACAAGAAATAAAAATTGTTTTCTAATTGTTATCATGGAGCAGATAAATTAGTAATGCACATAGAATATATTGTTCTTCCATCTGCAGGCAACCATTTTATACTTCCAAATCAGGTGTTTCACACACCATCTGATACAGCTTCTTCCCTAAGACAATAAATTGGTTACTAAATCGCTTGAAGGGTAACAAGGTCAACAATAATTAAACAAATCCAGATCACTCAGCTATTAAGAGTCTCTCTGGACTCAAATTAATTTTTATACATTTTTGCTTAGCTTTAGTAGAAATTAATGTACTATGCTGCATTACTGTCTGATAGCAATGTTTTTATAAGGGAAAAATACAGATAAAGGGAAGTGAAAAATCTGATAAAAAAGGAAAATAGGACAATACCTTCCTCCTCCCAAGTGCTTCCCAAGACTGAACTGCCTAAATAATATGTAATCGAAATTATTAAAAATTAGTATTATCATTTAGGCTATGCTAACAATGCCTGCCCATGTCCCTGAAATCAACTCCCAAAATTTTAGTCAGAAGCATTTTTTTCTGAAAGCAGCAAACTTGAAGCTTGCAAAGCTAAATATGAAACAAGAGTACAGTTCACAAAAAGTCTAGTATAGTATATCTGGTTGCTAAAGTAATGTTGAAAATAATAGGTAGTATCAAAATTATGTTTCAGTATTACAACATCTAAAAAATTGTTTGAGGTCAATGAGCTAAACATAAAACATTCACTAGTGTACACTGTTTAAAGTTTCTTCTTCATGATGTATAGCACATGCACTGATAAAATTATCTACATTTCCTTCATTGCCATTGAACAGAAGCTGTAGTTGCATCAACAAATAAGTTATTGTGAACCCATTACATAAATGAAGTAAGCTGTTTTTCAACAATTTATCTTTAGCTTATCTTTAAAACTAGATTTGAAGATTAAAAATGTTACTTCATTGTACATCAGCCAGTTTCGATGGGTAATCATTGTTTACCTTACTGTTTAAAATTTCAGATGTTATTCTAATGAAAAGAATTTACTGGTAACTAGCTTTTTAACTTTGTGATGATGAAAAGCCTGTATTAATTTAACCTACAGATTTCATTTGTTCTGAACAGGAAAACCAATATAAATCACTTTTAAAATCATTAAATCCTGACTTAAATTAATAAAGTCATAATTAGGGCATTATGCTGTGTTTGTTATGGAAGTGGCAAGGCGAGCTGCTTTAATTACTGTCTGTAATAAAAGGAGCAGAGTGCGTACTGCGCCCCAATCAGCGCTGTCAGCCACGACTGAGCTGAGCTGCAAACTCATCAAGTGAGCTGGCAGCAAACTACAGAGTAAAGGGTGATCATGTCTGCAGAGGCCACTTGCTGACAGCAGTGGAAGAAACAGATTCATACAATCCAAGGTATTAGCCCCAATTACTCAAAATTTTAATGATATTTTAATACATGATAATGCTGTTGATAATGGGCAATCTTAAAAAGCGCTAACACTTAAATATCTTATGACCGTTTCCCTTCACAGCCCTTGCCTCTAATATTTGGATCATAATCTTTTTAATATAACATTATTTAGAAAAATCAATTGTCTTAGTTACATAATGGCAAAGTGTTGAAGGACTTAATTTTAGCTCTCAGCAAAATTGCGGCAAAAGGTAATTAAGTGTTTCACACAACTGTTTGATCACTTATTCAGCCTCCCAAGGTTACATCAATTTTCAAAAAGCCTCTCAAGATTTTACTGAAGTCAGAAATTAATTCCAAACATAAGAGTAGTCTGATTAATGAAAATATGAACCCAGTTCACACACCGAATATTACTGACATATACTTAAACAGGAAGCATCAGTCCCTGGCCAATACACCCCAAAAAAGGCCTAATTAAAGGCTTAACAGACTGTTTACAGGAAGAGTGCTTTAACAGATAGCATCACAAAAAATTAAAACCATACAAGTCTATATGTACCTTTCAGCAGCAGCTGTAGATGTTTTATTTGCAGTACTTTCTTTGGAGTCTGAATCACTGTCACTCGACTCTTCACTGGAAGAGGAACTCTCGCTACTCTCATCACTGCTGCCTTCCTCCTTATCTCCCTTCTCACTTTCACTGCCAGACTCGCTCTCTGAAATAAAAACAATTCTTACAATTTTCTTCTAAATATCTTGCATAACTATTATTTTAGGAATCCAAGTTTGTTTTAAATAAAACAATGTTTCAGTATTTAAAGATCCAATTGAAAGCTTAAGCATTATTTACCCTGTGACAAAAGCAAGCAGGAAAATCACTTTCCCTTAATGTTTACAAAATTTTGTTGGTTAAAGACTTCTTCTCTTCAGCCTAGAGTATTATATTTTATCAAATTAAAAAGCCCAGTAATAAATTAATTGCATGTGGATTCTTCAAAATTATATAACCTTATCAGGAGCTCGAGATGACCTCAAATTCTCTAATCTATACATTAATTTAACTGTAAGATTATCTTTTTAACCAATTCAATATTTCTTGAATACTGGTAGTGATGATAATTGAATCAAATAAATTTAAACAAATTATTTATCCTCTAATTATTCAAATATCTGAAGTGAATATATTCTTTTCTTGCTTCAGAGATCATTATTTTCAGTGATATAATTCAAAAGGATTTCTTCTGCATATTTCCTCAGTTTAGGAATGAGGGAGAAGCAGCTCTATATTCAGATTTTAAGGTGCCCCTCTTCCATTTAACTGGATGCTGGTAATTCTTTTAAGTCTCTAAGGCTAAACATTTTCTGTATCTAAAGTCTGGACTAGGGAGAATATGTTCTTCATTACATCTGAACTATACTAACACCCACTGAAATGGCAGTCTTTGGAACTGTCTATCTAGCATTTAGTGGGAGACTGGGCAAAAGAACCTTTGTTCACTGAACTTGATAGGCATCTGTGAGTTTTCTCCATCATCAGCCCCATTACAATAAACAGAAAACATCATGTAGAACTTGAGAGCAATACTATAACACAATTTACTGAAAAAAAACTCCATTAAAGACTAGACAGCTAAACAAGTTTGGCCATTTACCAACACAGCAACACACGCTCTCAAAATAGTACTTCATCAAGTATTCCAAAAAACTTTCAAGACTTACAGTTCCCAGCATTGAAACATATGGGCACTCCTCCTGCAAAAACTGAGGTGCCTTTAGATTTAACTGGAGTTATAAACTCTCTCTACTCTTACTGGACTCTTACAGGATGAAAATGGCATGCCAGCTTCTTTAACTGGGAAACAAAGCCAAGTCTAACTCATTTAATAAACACATAAGCCATATCTGTAAAATCAGCACAGTGAATGTAAAATTTCCTCCTAGGTCTGTCTTTTTTTGAAATTTTTTTTCCCGTTCTTTTTAAGTAGTGGCCAGTTCTAAAGATACAGTTCTCCAGGCAGTGGAGATGCAAGTTGCTTTCCAAACACCTACCTGATGCAGTGGTACTGGCAGACTCATCTTCCTCCTCTTCTGACTCAGAGTAGAACTTTTCAGTAGGTTTCTCTTTCTTTGTCTTACCTAGAATTCCAGTCCATTCCTTTGCCTGTAAATAAATTTCAACTTAAGTTTACTTTTACAACCAGTAATACAAAAATATACACACAACAAGGCAAAGCAAAACACTCGCAGTAGCGGTATTAGGCAGTTTCTAAATAAATCCTCTAAGCAAGTCAAGAGAAACTATTAAATTTCTCTTACTTTACACAATTAGGAGAACTAAAAGTTTTGTACATACCTATAAAAGGTGAGATATGTCTATTAGAGAGTCCAGAAAAAGATTTACTAAGGCAGATTAAAAGCATCAGTAACCATAAATAAACTTCTATGCCAAAAGAACCTGAGGTCTGAGAGTTTTATCTCTAAATCCAGCTGAGTTTAGCCTATGACTAAAATGAAGGGTAAATATGGCTAGTCAGCACCTTTATTATCCCAAGTTTTCCCCTTAAAACAGATGTGGACCCAGTATGCAGCAGAAGTTCCATCAGCCACAGAGGAATTATATTTCACTTCCTTTGCAATTCTTCATATAAAAGTAATTCTTACCACCAGGAGAACACCAGAATGTGGCAATACTTTGGCCAGGCTTTTTTTCTTTCCATGTCCCCCTATACTACTAGAGAAGCAGAAGAAAAACTCAGGCCAAGAAAAAAAACAAAAACAAACAGGCAGAAAACTGTATCAACAGGGAGATACAGGTCTGCCTTAGGGACTGCTCTGATCTGGAATAAGACTAACTTTTGAAAGAGTTGTCACCTGCAATGGTACACAGCTCTTGGAGACACGCTGGCTTCCTTTTAAACACCAAAAGCTGTTAAAGCTTTGTAATGCTCCACGGAGCAATTGGTATTTTAAAAAGCCAATATTCTTTGGATATAAATGACAATTTAATTGTGGATTGCAGTTTAACAACTCAGCTTCGCTCACATACATTGTGTAGGCACATGCAGTATTAGAGAAGCCACAAAATTAATGACAATGAGACACTTTCCAAGAACAATATTTGCAAAAACATAGGGAAAGGATTTTTTTGTTTGTTTGTTTGTTTTAACTTTTAAATGGTTGGAGGGAGATGTTTTCTATTAGGTGCTAGTAGATGGATGTTACTCCATTTGATCGATTTCCCGCAATGCTTTTTGGTTTTATGGACGAAGGTGCCTCCGCATATTCTTTCATGCCAACCCTATCATTTATAATCCCTTGCTTCAGCTGATTGCCTTCAGATTCTCCCCATAAAAGCTTTCAGAAGTTCATACACAAACACTTCTTTTCCTGAAATGTATATAAGAAGGTAGACAAGTAAAATTAGAGTAGTAAGGAGAAATGCTTGTTCTACCACATTGCTGTTCACTGGCTTCTGCAAGGCATACTTATTTTTTAGAATTTTCTCTACTCATTCTATGCCTAACATCTCATATGCAAATGAATTCACGTGCAATTTACTGTAGAAGTTGGCTCTTGACAAGGACCACGTGCTTTCCTGGGTATACCTGTTACAACAATATACCTCCACGAGCACCATCAGCACTATATTCCAATACATTTTTATTTCTGTTACTGTTCAATAGCTTTCATTGACATTTAGTAGGACTCTGGTACCTGACACATATATCACAACTCCAGTACCAAAACATGATTTTGTCTCAGAGTTTAAAATCCAGTAACAAAAACTTATTGGTAGTAGCAGACCAGCCCTGTAATGTCAACAAATGACTAGTGCACTTAATAGGTGACATTTTCCTATTATAAACTTTCCCAATTGTCTCCAGATGATCTGAAATGAAAACCCAGGTCTCTTCCAAACTTCACACTTTGAAACATACATAATTTTTCTCTCTGCTGCTGCCTTGGGTTTACATTACCTATTGTTTTTTGTTCAGACTTGGATTTATACATGAACAAACCTCCACTCACCTCCTTCTTCGGTAGTCGAGCTACACTCACCATTAACAGCAACTAACATAATGCAGCACAGCAAATATAAGAGGCATGAAATGAAAAGTGAGACAGTGGGAAAAAAGCCCATTTAATCCACAGGCAAAGCAGAAGTGGCCTACAGTTCATCCACTTCTCTCATTGAAAAGAAAAAAGCAAGCATCATGCAGGTTTCCAAATGTTCCGTTTCCAAACTAAAATAAGCAACATTCACATGCATCAACGTTTTTCAGTACAGCATACAGATAGTAATTAAATACTTGTATTTAGGCTAATACTTTCTCCTGACGAGTGCCTTTAGTGACGCTAACTTTTAATGATGCTGACGTACCGACTCGGCTACGTCGACGTTTCGGACGGAGGGGTCAGGCGCCACCTCTGGCCAGTCGGACAGCTCCAGGTAGCCAGTGGCTCGGCTGTTCAGCGTGTGAGACAAGGTGCCAAGCTGGAAATGATCTCGATCTATTAAAAAATAAAAGGGGGGAGGGGAGAAATAAACAAACACCATGAGCTCTACCACAAAGAGCAATCTTAATCAGAGCTAAAGGTAATTGCCATTATATTACCTCAAATGTCATGGAATAAATATAAACTAGGAAGCTCTTCATAGGTCAAAAAACTGATTTCAGTCCATAGATTACAATAATCTCCCCCATAATGGTCAATAAAAAAGCTAATCAGTCAGTGTGTTTAGAGGTGTTGCTCTGAAATGTAGCTTCTCTAAAAATTACTTTACTGTGAATATTAAGAATGACAGCACAGTTAAACAATCCATATACATGTCTTGGCACAAACACATTCAGAATTTTAATAGTTTTTCTTCAACATGGAGCTCCTTTTAGAGCTTCAAAACTGGGACTAAATAAGTAGAAAAATTAAAATGGCAAATTGTCACACTAACAGAGTATTTTTAATTAAGATAACCTGATAACCTTTTAATTTGAGAAGACAGACAATGGTTCTTACTTGTAAAAAGACAGGGAAAACACACAGGGAAAAATATTACTTTGGAGAAAAATAATTAAAACCTAATCTATTGATATTCAGTTTACTTAAGATTCATAAAATATTTGCAATACTCACATCAACAATCTTCTGTTAAAGTCCAGATAAAAGACAAGAGCTATTTTCCTAAATAAAAGAACAGTTTTCCTCAAGAGACACCTTCTGTTATTTAAATAAAATTCAAAATCTACATGAATAAAAATCGATCAGTTTGTCAGGCTTTATCATCAGAGAAATGCATTGTGTTTGCACCATGCAAACGTTGCTTACTAAAAAGCAAGTAAGCAGAGCAAGTACTCTTGCATATTAATCATTTGTACTTGCTAAGTGACACAATTTGTGAGCACATTTGAAACAGAATAGGCTGCCACATTTCTTTACACAATGAACATTCACCAAATTATTTTGGCAGTTATACCTTTAAAAGGAGATTCAAGCAATGGGGCAGGTTTCTGTGCCAGAAATATTTTTTTGGCATATTTGCTTAAAGCTCCACTCTTCTCATTCGGAACAATAAGCTGCCTAATAAATCTTGTACGGTCTCTGATGTCGTAGCTTTGATCATACTTGCCGAGATTTAATACATACTGGGTAAGCAATTTTGTCTGTGGAAAAAAACAGGACAAGAACAGAATACAAGTTATTTATGATTATTGATAACTCTGGATAAACATATTTAAAGAGGTAATAAAAATGAATGGTTATGTCAAACAAATGTTGTTCCACAGGGAATATGCATTTCTAAAGCTGCAAATGGAATCCTGAAGCCAAAGCACATGTCCTCTTCTGTACTGGGGAGGTGAATGCTGAGTACTGAGAAGCAGCCATGTGCTAGATTATTAAACTGCTGAAGTGGAAAGAAAGGCATCATTAAAAAAATAATCATATATGGCAAACCCGCTGAAGGGTCTACGTGAGGATAATGAATGTGGAAATACAACTAAAAACATGGCACTCAAAACTTAATCGGAAAAATATGCAGGACATCAAAACATCAGAGGGTATTAGGGGGCTGGCAAACGGCTTCTGCTGAGGTGTGTTTTATGAAGAGATACTGTCCCTGGCATAAGCAGTGTCTGCACTCTGACTGCACTCAGTTACTTTATCCTGAATTATGACCCATTAAAGCAGACACATGAATCACTGAACTGGATTACTGCAAATTATTTGCAGTGCATTTAGCTGTTACTTTTTCATAAAAGCAAGCTGCTGATGCCCTCTAAAAACCAGGATAAAAGACTTCTTCCATTTTTTTTCTTGAAGCTTAAAGCCTCCAGTAATATCGGTCATTTATTTATTTATGTAAGAGAGCAACTTATATTATCACAGCTTTTTACAGCACAATAGGACTTCCTAATTTGACGTCTGAGAATATTAACATGTATTAAATAATTTTAATAATTCAGCTAAATTTTTAAAACTAAAAAAATAATATTAAAAAATCAGGAAGACTTTCCCAGTATCTTGGAAATAACATAATGTAACCAGAAAAACAGTGTTGAACAGACTTGTAACCATTAGATATGTTTGAAAGAAGTATGCTACTTCCTTTATATACAAAGAAACAGGAAAAAGAGTAAAAATAATATACCATCATAAGGAAGTAAATTTTTAGTATTTCATTCAGAATGGATGAATAACACAGGGTTAAAAATACATTGTCAAGGAGGATTTATTTTCTTTATACAAAGAAACAACCTTGCATATATATATATATATATATATTTTGTTTCTCATGCTGCTGTTATAACAATAACAGGGTTTCAATCTTGTGAGCAGAAAATTATGTTAAAAAAAGTCAATTTTGTTATGTGCAAATTGCTAAGAAAAGTTCAGTTTAATAATTTCCACCTCAAGGATGCAAATTAAACTTTTTACTAGACGTGTAAAAATACTTTTTCAGAATACTGATTAACTCCTCTAAGTTAAATACACAGTGAACAATGAATGGTTTTAATTCTAACCACATACGACAAAATGTATGCAAGCATTTCACAAAATACCATATGATACCAAAGATTTGAAGAAATTAGTCATATTATATTAGAATAATAGTAAAAGTATAGTTAAAAAAAAACAACCTTTAAGTGAAACATTTTTCATTTCTTTTTTTCTCTCTGATACCCAAGGATGGTTCTGTGAAAAGCTGTTTTTTCTCCCAAGGTACTGTTTTAGCTCTGGGAAAGGTAAAACTATCCCATATGTATTCCACAGCTTATTGGCAGCTATTTTTATATCAGGGTATAAAATTTTAAACAACTGCATCAGATACAACATAGGTAATCCGCACTGATGCAGGATTTAGGCTGTTCAATCTAAATGGAATTGGAAGGGAGGGTTCTCAGGTAGCATGAATTAAACTAAATGACAGGTACCTCCTGCAGCCTTTACCATCGCTTCTCCTTTGTAAAACAAAACAAGACTCCTTGCTGTCATGGCAGAAAACTCAGCAGAACGGATCATAAAACACTGTGGTCTTTGCTTGCGAATCGCTATAGGGATGGGAAAAGTTGAGGGCCTTGCTATCATGGTAGGCATTTTTTCAGTGAGCACTGATGGAATTAGATAAGGACTTGACTGCATTTTCTGTAACGGGATCATTTTCTCCATGATCCTTTCCCTTTCCTCTTCCCTAAAATATCTTTTCCGTATAATCCACTACAGATAATGACAAAACAAATTTATATGGAAGAATGCTCCACATCTGCAAGAAGCCTCCTTGCAAGCATCATATATAGTATAAACAGTTTTAATGAAAACAGCAAGAAAACTTTTTTTTTCTTTTCTTATGGCAATACAACTAATCAAATAGTGAAGCTTTTCTACATGGGGGTAGCTAATAGAAACAATTAATTTTAATTAAAAACAAAAAATAAACTAATAAATACATATCAGTTTTTCCAACAAAGGAATATCCATAAGACGCTGAAATTTATTTGAGCAAGCATGTTAATTTGGTGAAATATGATAGAAACTGCACACCATGACTGCTTCATAGAACAGTAAAACAAAGTATTCTGATGTATGATATAATACACTTATCATATGTTAGCATTGCCTGTTATCTGGACATGCTCATTATATAGGCATAACATAATTTCTTTTTTCCCCACACTGTTAGAATAAATTACTATTTTTTGCACATTTTGGTTTGGCTAGTATGAGAAGTATATTTCAAGTCATCCTTCAGTAACATTTCTAGAATTTGCTAGTGACAATAGTTCTATTTAGAAATATAATGCCTATCCTATATTAGCAGCAATTAACCTTTTGGTAGATCCCTCGCCTGAAAAATTTTATAATACAATTATCAACAACAGATGAGGCTCTGTAACGGGAGAGAAACAGCTATCTAGCCACTCTTTGATATCATTCAATTACACTAACTTAATTCGTTAGACACATAACATAAGGTTATTGTGCTAAACCACATTTGACCTACCCATTTACACACTAGAACTGCTCAGGACTTTTTCTGGTGGGAATGCTACTGTGTCACACAACAGAAAACCACCAGAATCTCTTATATTTCCTGCAGTATGCAAGAAACACCTAAAGTAAACAGATGACATATTTTCTGTACAGCTCTTTCTCTTATGTGAGCTCCACTCAGACATCTATCTAGCATATTCATAAGGATTTTTATGTCCATAAGTGATGAAAAAAGGAACCAAGTTTACCAAACAACATAGTTAACCAGAGGAAAGCTTGTTCTTATCACATATTTATCCAGATAGGATTGAATTTGAAACTCTTTCTTGAATTATAAACAGCTTTTGAAAATTCATGGTGTGATCACAGGACTTAAAGGATATTGGAAATTCTTATTGGAAATCCTGAATCTTACAAAGCATACCTGAAAATGTGCTGCATTCAGTGTTTGAACATATGCCTAAGAAAATTACCAGCAAATACAGTAAGATATTTATAGAAACAGAAAAAAAATAACAAAGCCTTACTTCCTAAAGAATTTTGTGCTCTTCTCCAAACAACACCTAACAGATGAGCTTTACTTGCCTTTCCCTCACCTGAAAAAATAGCTCTTTTTGTCTGCTTGGTTGGTGTTGAGTCTCTCTTGGCTATCCTATCACTACTTTTCAAAAAAATGACATTGCATCATTGAAATTTTTCACACCATCATTGACTTTGGATGAAACGGATAAAAGGACTAAAAAAAGTACTATGTGGTAGAGTAGGTATGGAGGGAGAAAACAAGGGGATGAGGAGAGATAGACAGACTGACAACTTAGCAGTTGAGTGCACAAGCTTTGCCTTTTAAGTTTGAACAGTTAGACTGAAAAATGGTTGAACTTATTAGGAATTGAATTAATTCCAGAAATAAATGTTTTAATACTGAGTGAGTAAGGAATAGTTACTCCTGGGATTAAGGATGTAGATATAGGAAGAGTATTGCCAGCTCCTAAAGGCAAAACCATATTCTAGTTTGGTAGGAGTTTTAGTCAAGCCAGGTTATCAATCTGCTCTGTTTCAATTTTGTATATGAATAGCTTGACCACTTGAGAAGATAATTTATTTTTCTGCAACCTATAACTAAAAGAGAAAAACAGCCTTCAATGCAATTAATCATTTAGTAGGCATCTCAGGAGACATTCTTCTCTTTATTCAAATACAGTAATGGCGATAAAGGGTTATGCAACACCTATAATGGCAGTTTATAATGTACTAAGACATGAAACTGGAAAAAGAGTATCACAGAAATCATAACCTCCTTGTAGGCAATGAAGTTTTGGCCAAACATGCTGTGGAAAAATTAGTGGGCAATTACAAAAATTATATGGAAAATTAGTAAATATTATGTAACGGGCCAAAAGGAGACAGTTCAGATAATCAAACCAATCTTTCCTTAGCTCAGTCAGCATTTGCATTAAGATGAATACTGACAGAAAGAAGTCACCTTTTGTTACTGCCCCATTTAGACTATATAAGCAAAGGAGAATCACAGAATCACAGAATATTAGGGATTGGAAGGGACCTCAAAAGATCATCTAGTCCAATCCCCCTGCCAGAGCAGGAACCTAAACGAAATTACACAGGAAGGCGTCCAGGCAGGTCTTGAATGTCTCCAGAGAAGGAGACTCCACAACCTCCCTGGGCAGCCTGTTCAGTGCTCTGTCACCCTCACCATAACAAGTTTTTTCTCAAGTTTAAGCGGAACCTCCTGTGTTCCAGCTTACACCCATTGCCCCTTGTCCTACCATTGGGCATCACTGAGAAGAGCCTGGCTCCATCCTCATGACATTCGCCTGTAGAGAAGCATTCATTCTTATCTGAATGCACAGCAAGACAGTTCATTTCCCACATGGCCTACAGAATAAAGTCTCAGATCAAGTCTGCAGTTGGATATAACTATCAAGGAACAAGAAGACACCATAGTTGCAGAGGTACGAGATTCTGTGCTGTCCAAGCTGTTGTAAAACAAATAGCTCTAGCAGCAGGAAACTGGAAAGTGTATACATCTCAGATAATCTGTTTTCTACATTAGAAAAAAAAATATTTTTACAACTTTTTAGAGTAATAATAGGAATTACAGTGAAAAATTAGTGTCAAGATGCTGTATGTCATAGCCAGAGAGTGACCAAGTTCACAGTTCCGTCACAGAGAAGAATGAGGCAACTGGCACCTCTCATAGCTATTGCTTTCAGCTACGTGGAGACATAAGTTTACTTCTTTGTACTATTAGATTATCTTTGTTACTAGATATTATCAAAACTCACCCTCTCCACTAGGTAAAGTGAAATAGTAAGAAATACAGAAAAAGGGAAAGTGGTTACTATCTTTACGATAAGCACTGATGGAAAGACATAATGAGGCCTTTTGCTAGCACTCCTTTTAGATATTCCTGAACAAAAAATGAATAGCTTCTTGTTCAAATTAACAGTACTCCCTTGAAAATTCTTGTCTTAGATGCAGAAAACAGCAAATCACATATGGAAAAATCACCAATCTGATATTAGTAATACAATTTTACAATCTTTCCTATTTACGTGAATTAAAAAAAATATCTAAAATTTCCCTAAGAAAGAGGCAAAAAAGAATGACGGCATCACTTCTTGAAAATGGATGATCAGCTTTTCTTCATATAATAATATGGACTAGTTTTTGTTACTTAATAAAAGAAATAATCTATACAGACTGTACAAGACATACTGTGACTCTAAGTACATACACTTCTGAGTTTAAGCTTACCTGCTTTGAGTTTGTTAAATACAGTTTTGCACCCAAATTTAAGATCTGCAACTTTACAAGGTCGTCTTCGTTAGTGAAACTCTTGGCTGTCTTTCTCAAAACATCAGGTGCGATCTTTGGAACTCGTTCACAGTACTCACCGATGAGCCAAAGAATGCTGGCTCTGGCTACCGGAACCTGAGAAAACATTGCACACTAAGTTAACACATTCACAAAGACTACTTGTGAACTTGTATGTGTCTGTGTTCAGTAACAAGTCAAACAAAACACTGTATTTAATGACAACTGTCATGCAAGAAATACACATTCAAATTAAATACTGTTCAATACTGCCACTGTAGTAGACTGAATATTCGTACAAATATAAGATACAGATCCTGCCCCAAAACCCATGCATTCCGAGCTGACAGGACAAACAGAGCAGGAATGGAAACAGACACACTCAGAAGCGACACATTCATGTTCACAGTACAAGTTGGTGGCAGTAGGGAAGAGAATCCAAGCCTCTGAGGTGTAGTTGAGAATTCTTGCCACCAGGTTATGCTAAACACTATGTTGAAACAAAACAGTGCTTTTTTTACTATAGTCATACAGAAATGGTTTCCAACAATACAGCTCCCTCAAATTCTGCCTATCTACTTTAAAAGCACAAGAATTTCTTTAAGACTATTGTTATCTTTCCTTAATTTTTATTTAAAGTTTTATTACAACAAGATTCATATTTTTGTAAATGTCCAAGGTCAGCTGAACACACAATACTGGAGAGACAGAAGTTCAAAATTAGGGTTCTCAATTTCTGAATAAGATCTAGCCCCTTACTGAAAACACTCTGACCAGAAACTTCATGCAAGTCTTACTGTTTTGGAGCTACTTGACTGTCACTGAAATAACTGGCAGTAGCAGTTTTTAGATTAACTCCCATTGTACAGTGACTTCTAAAGTACAGTACTGTCACAGATAGAGGGGAAGGAAGATGGAAAAGCACAGAAGGAAACATAAGGTCATGCTCCATGCAGAGTGTAGCTAGAACATAGCTATGAGCTAAATGAAATAATATACACACACTCTTCTTAAAGGTGAGCTACCCTCTATTAACTCTTGGCAAAATTAAAAATTGCATCTGTGTTACATATCTCCCTGAAAACATTGTTCTCCCAGCTGAGAGGAAGGAAGAAAGTATGCGATGAGAAAATTCTTCCAGGCAGAAGCATGTCCTGCATGGCACCTACAGATTGTGGTGCTGTCACATTCTGTATAGACTCTTGTTTGACAGATGTTGAAATATTAGGGAGAAAACATAACTGTTCTATCATATCAAATGGCTGACTAGTTTAGAAAAAAGGAAAGATTCCAACTGTAACTGCAATTTCATCTAATTTTGCTGATTTTTCTAAAAAAGCAAAAAACATTTGTAATAACATGTTTCCATTACCCCCTGCACTATACAATGATCTTTTAAAATAAGTTTACACTTAAGCCAGTGTGAGTTCTGTCTTAGATGAGATTCACAGGAGAAACAAGCTTTAGAAATTCAGCATTGTGGCTCTCAAAGCCCTAATTCTTCGCATCTTTTATATATGTTTATGTATGTTGTGGATGCCCCCTCCCTGGAAGTGTTTAAGGCCAGGCTGGATGAGGCTTTGAGCAACCTGGTCTAGTGGAAGGTGTCCCTGCTCATGGCAGGGGGGTTGGAACTAGATGATCTTTAAGGTCCCTTCCAATCCAAACCATTCTATGATTCTATGAACTTTTTTTCCAGCATATGTCAGTTACTCATATATGAATATCTATTTCTCAGAATTGCAAAGGGAACCAACTGTTAAGTATCCTACCCTGTACACACATAAAATTTGAAAGTACTGCTTTCCAATTACATTCATAAAAGGTAAAAAAATGCAAGTAAACTACCAAGATTCAGGATAGCAATTCTCAAACTACAGTCCACAGTCCCTAACAAATGGCCCACTAAACCATACTAAAATCACAGAATTGTTTGGTTGGAAAAGACCTTTGAGATCACTGAGTCCAACCGTGCCTGTCCACTACTACTTACTGCTCCAAAAAGTCCAGGAACAGCTTTGAATAAAGTAAACCTGCCAAGGTCTGCCCCTCAAGAGATAAATGCCAATTCTAAACATGGAAAATATATGTAAGGTAAAGGTAACATAAGGTATTGAGAGTGGTGTAACACAGTGATTTAACGTACATAAGTATAAGTAAACACTGACTGAGATACAGTCTTGGAACTTAAGGGTTTGAGAGAGGGGAACAAACTACTGAAAACTGCTAAATGGAGTCAGAATATGTTCTCCCATGAAACCGTTAGACTGACGCCATTACTGTACACTGATTTCAGAAGGGAAAATTTCTAATGTTCCAAAGGTTACACTGCATTAAGACCTCACTCCCAATCTATTATTTTAAATTGGGCTAAAGAATAGTAATTGAGTGGTACATTAGATTTTCCAGTATTGGAGCAGTTCAAGTTGCCTGCTGTACAGATAGATACCTCTAAATAAGAATATATAGGCAACTTCAGATTTCAGTTATGCTAGATTTATTTTTCTAAAATATTTCATTACAGACTTGTTAAAACACTAGAATTCTACAAGAGATCACTAAATACCACGGTTTGGGCAGCAGCCTATTAGAAACATCCCTTTTCCTATTACTGTCTTTTCATAAAGCAAAAATAACTCATAGAGCAGACCAATTTCAGTAAGAATATTTATTATGAAAGCTAAACAACAGTACATGAAACAACAGTAATTGTACTTCTCCTAGTCAAACCTAAGACTATACCACAATGAAAAATATTTAAATATAGTTAAACAGTGTGCATTTAAGCACTGTTTTGCTCTCTGAAGTTTTTTCCCAGTTTGTAAAACGTAATTATCAGAGTAATAAAGTAGTTTTAGAATGTAAAATAAATAGACTACAAAGCCTAATTTGAAAAATACCAGAAACAGAAGGCAGATAAAATTTCTTGTGAGACTCTGCCTTTTAATCAGGTGGTTAGCTTACTATGCAAATACTGCATTAAACACAATTTTGTGCAACGAGAACCAGTATCAATTAAAGACTTTTTGAATCAAACCCTGAGTGGAAGTCATTTTAATGAAAAGTGTATGTTGAACTTATGAACTCCATGTTTCTGCATCACTGGATTCATTTGGGGTCAAAATCACACAATATTTTCTGACTTCTTTTTCCCTGTTTAAGTCGTCCAGTCCTCAACCATGTAATATCAAGTGCATGATCCTGCAGACGTTGTTTCCAGGGCATTCAAAACAGAAAACAAGAAACAAAGCCACTTCTAGACCTTCATTGCCTTTTCCAGTATAGCTTAAGTAGGGACCTTGAATTCACAAAAATGCAGGAAATAATACTTTCATTATTCATCCCTGCTCCGTATTATCCTCGAAGACAAACAGTATTGTAAATTACTTTGCCTGATGCTTTATTTCATATGCCCCGAGCAAGTGGTTAAGTGCACTTTTTAAGCTTTAGTACCAGAAGGCAGTCTCTACTGCCATTTTAACCCATTAGCTGTCCGAAGGAAAATAAATAAATGGTTAAAAAATAAAAACCAGACAGACACTCTCCCCTCAAAGCTAGCCTATGGTTACTTACAACAGTTAAAGAAAGACATTATAAAGATTTTACAGATCCCTCTAAGCAGCACAGTTCAAAAACTATTGTAGTTCAGTTCTAATCTTACTACACAACAGACTAGGCTAAGTACAGCTTAAAATCGCCCATCCTGTTACCCACAGTTGTCACAAAATGAGGAGATATTCGAATAGCAAATGAGATCTAATTCTCTGCATTCAGAAGAAAATTTGCATAGCTATAATTTTTTTAAATTTCACTTGGAATCAGAAATGGAAAGAGAGATGAAGTTGATGTGAAATGTCAGAGGCAGCAAGAAGAAAAGGTACACAGGAACAAACAGGAGTAAAAGACAACTGGGTTTTTTTGTTTTCAAATGGTAGACCTTCAAGGACTCCTCCATTATTTGAACACCTATGCACAAAATTCCTTTAAAAAGGATCTCCACTGATGACTGACACCTCTTATATAGTGTACACATGTTTAAATTGTGTTTTATTTAAGCTGAACATTTGTTTCAAGTTCAGTGTACAGTATCCCTGGACACAGTGTCCCAAATGCCTCTCAAATTCCAAAACAATATATAGATATTAGAGCAAGTGAAGAAATTATCAAATTATGAGAATTGTTCATTAAGGCATTACTTACATAAAGGTCTAAAAACACATTATTAAAGCATATCCTAGGGAAAAGTATGTGGCTAGAATCTGAAACCTGCAGAACTGAAATACTTGTGAATATATGAATGTCATATCTTGTGATACCTTCCCAGCATTGCAGGAAAAGAGAACTTTAATTAAAGAAAGCACGCCGTCTCTGCTGTGAAGTCATATCAGAAACACAGCTATAAGCAGTACTTATTTAGAAATACTGCAGAGGAACTTAATTCGTTATTGCTGGATGGACGAACAGAGCAGTGTCAAAACTCCCCAGTTACCTACTCTAGTAATGAGAATCCTAACTCAAACCAGTAATTATTAATTCTTAATTGCTTCCAAAAGTGTCAATTTTTCCCCCACATACTAAGCTCTTCAAAGTTACATGCGCATCTATCTTATTTTTCCTCTAAATTTGCAACTCCCTATCCCGTCTTTATACTATCGAGAAGTTTTCCTCCTCATCTCTAGATCAGAAAACACTTCAGACTTCTCTCATATTCTCATCCATATTCTAGAAGGAACTAGGAATAAGTCTGTAACCAAGGATGTCAGAATTCACCAGCTATCAAGCAATAAAAACCCTGCCTTTGTAGTATTGTAAGAAAAAGCCTGGGAAAAATTACACCAGAACTACAAGATTCCCATCGCCCAGAAAGCAATCACTACTGGGTAAAATGTATAATCATAAATGATTTTTCTAAAAAGAAAAAGGCAGAAACTAATTTGGAGACTACTGAAGCCTGTTTATGTGAGGAAATACACAAATGCAGAACACCATTGAGACATTCTTACACAGAGCTAATTCTTGCTAGGTTGATTTACATTAATTCATTGCTAAAATGAATTAAGGTAAATCAAAAGAGGCATACTTTGGATGTAAACAGAAGTGTCTTGTCTTAATCCAGTTTAATCAATGCAGTCTAACCAATCCACTTTAAAACTTAATTCAGATTAAATTTGCAAGTATTTGCACTTAGACAAATTCTGGACCATAGTTGTTTTGAAGGAAAGATTTTCTAAAAGAGTAGACTCCACAACCATATGACATGTATTTGATGAGAGAATATTCCAACACTTTTTCAAAAGTCCCTCAACATCATCTTAGAAAATGTCAGCCTTTACAGAGTGGAAAGGCACTCTCATTAATAAAAAAGGACTGGATAACAGAAAAGACAAAAAAAAACCCCAACAGTTATAATGGAAGGCAATCATTAGATGTCCCACAGGGACCTATAGGTGAAAATGTGCTGTGCAACAGATTTGCAAGTAGAAAAGGGCTATCTAGTGAGGAGACAGTCTGCTGACATAAAATTTTTCAAGGTAATCTAAACTAAAACAGAATCTGAACAGTGGAAGATGGCTAATTAGTGATACTTAAGAACAGAGCAGAATTGATGCAGCTGCCCTGGAAACACTAAAAACAGGAGTTAAAAAAATTCTACACAAAATGATGGACCCCAAACTATTTCTAGGGAAAAATATCTTGGAGTCCTTAATAGTTTCAGAGAATTGTAGAATCGTTAAATCAATGTTCTGCAGAAGTCATAAGGCAGACAACCCCAGGAAAGTTAGATAAAAAATGCAGAACAAGTAACATCACTATGTCACTGCATAAAATTTCTCCTTCATACTCTTGACTACTGTGCACAATTCTGGTTACCTCACTTCAAAAACCACACAAGTACCTGTAAAGATGAAGAGAACAGGGAAAAGCTGATCACATAGGGAATATGAGGAGAGATGAGAATTCCTAGATTAGTAAGCGTGACGACATGGATAGTAAAGCCAAGCTTCCAGTCAGCGAGAAGGTACGCTGGAGGTGCATCACAATGAACTTGCTCTTACCTTTAAAACCTTCTCCCTAAAGCATCAGTTTTTGGTGCTGTTGAAGATAAGACTACTCTATTAAGAGGACTTTTGGACGGAATCTGTGTCATCCTTTAAATGGCCCTTTCCAATATGCATATTTTTCAAACTCCTGTCACTCTGTATAAAAACTATACACACAAAACTAGTTAAGACTATCTCAGAGTGAATATCTAGTACAAACTAGCACTGCTTATATCTCTGGCCCACAATTTACAAAGTCATTAAATTGTAAAGCATGACAGCAACACATTACCACCGAAATGGAAACATTTTTATGATTTTTTTTTTAAAAAAAGACTTTTAAAGAGATACAATTATCCTCTTGTTTAATATCTTCAGAACACCATCAGACATACCTGTTTCTCAGCTACAACTTTTGAAGGGTGGAGGAAAGGAGCTGGAATATAGCTAGATCAAGCTGTTCTATGCAAAGGTCTAGGTACTCAGCAAGTTACAGACACAAAATAGATCTCATAGATCTCTGCCTGGGCACACCGGAGATAAAAGTTTAAGGTACAAATGATAACATACAAAAGCAAAGGAAGAAAAAATAAGCACATTTTTCAGATACATAATAAACAATGAATTAAAGAGCAAACTGAAATGGTCACAGTCCTCAGATTTACAGTAAATGAGAATCAGTGGTCTGCAAGAGGTCAGTAGTTTTTAATTGAACTTTGTAATATTTCTTATAGTTGGTCAAATATATTTAACTTACTATCCATCCTATCACCTTCTAAATGGCTTCTGTAGATGAAGAAGATGAAGATAAGAATTAAGACAAGATGAAGATGAAGACAAGAATGAGTGAATTTCAAATTGGATGACCTGAAAGAAATATTGCTATGAAAGATTTTTAGGCACTTCATCATGGACAAACACAATCTCAGGCTAATGAAAGTGAAATTTATATCAACATGAATGATGAAATAAATTCAGGCACCAACCCAAAAATGTACTCCGTCCAGTTCTCACCAATTTTGCTTATTTTAGTGGCCAAGTGTTCACCATCTACCTAACCTAAATCATGACAGAACAATCAGAAAGTTATTTTTATCTGAAGTGCTTTTCTATTTAATTGTATTTAATTCTCTTCATGCCTGTGCTTGTGTTTTACATAGTATTAAATATAATTCTAACCCTAAGAAGCACCAAACAATTTCTTTGCCCACACTTTCCCATCCTCCAGTTACTTTCAGGTTTGTTCCTGATTAAAATTCTCAGGGATTCCAGTAATACTTTATTAAATGTCAAAATTTCAAACTTGGATCCTCAGTAATTATATAATCCAAATATCACCTTCCTAAATGTGTAAAAATATGCTCATCCTTTTCAGAAGTGTTGGGGTCGGAGTCTGGACTAGATGACCTTTAAAGGTCCCTTCCAACCCAAACCATTCTGTGATCCTGTGATTCTGTGAAGGAATACATCCATTATCAAACATATGAGGTGTAAGTTATTTCAGGATAATACTGTGGCATACAAATTATAAATATGAACTTCTTCCAAATTTATTCTTTAATCCAAAGTCTTAAACATACTGAGGAAGATAAATTTCTGGAAGTTATTATTAAAAAATTACAAGTTAAAAGATAAAACAAGATGTACAACAATCATCCCGGAGAGCCTACACTACTTTCTTCTTGAAGAAGAAGCATGATTCAGATTCAGATTTTGATTTTTAGTTTGTTCCTCTAACTGCTCTGTTCTACAGACTGTTCTCCTACTACTTGCCATTTTCTGATACTGTGTACAACCTCATTATTGGAGAATGTGAGTACATCAAAGTAGTTCAAGTACTGCAAGTCTTTTTTCTCCCTTATCAACTTACAGCAGGATTTTCTTTTCCAAAAAAATCCCCTGTACTTAAAACTTGAAATATTTACTCAGAAGTATTAATTATGTAAAATAGATAGAAAACTCTTTTAAGTGTTAAAGAGAATATTTAGGAAAAAGATATTTTATTTTGCACAGTATGTGGAAATAAGATGACAAACTTATATGGCAAAGTGCCAGAAGATGTGTATAATAAGATTATACACAATTTATGAGAATGTAATTATCAAAATACCATAGAATCATAGAATGGTCTGGGTTGGAAGGGACCTTAAAGATCAGAAAACACAGGTGATTATTATAAAATAAGTAATACTGATTTGATATGTAATCAGCAGCAGTATCTTACAGCCTCTTTTGATTGTGAATATGAGCAATCCAGTAGAATTGTATTTTCTTTACAACACTTAGAAGTTGAACATCAGCTCTTGGTGGCCAAAGATTTATTTGTTTAATCCATTCAGTAAGCATGAACTGAGAAGACCGTATTTTCTTTTTCCTTTAATATTCCAAACCTTGAAAAATTCAGCTATAGAAAATGGAAGATTCACCAGTTTAGAAACTATTTACTGCATCATCAATAGATGCATAATTATATGAAACCGAACACACCTATTTATAGCATCTACAGAAAAATAATTATTAACAGAACAAATTCTGTCACCTTTGCGGTTTGATGCAATAGGTAGCTAATGGTCTTCAGCCCTACACTACAATTCAGAACAGACCAGTAAATGTTTTATTGATAACTGTAACTGGGAGGAGAATTTGGGAAGTAATATGGCATACTTAAACGTCAATTTAATCTAAGGACAGAGAATAGGCAATAATGCAAATATTACTGTTAAATGCCACATAATCTTAAATAACCAGAAGATAAAAACGTGACTTCAAGAAACATTGCAACACACTCACAGCAGCATGTCCAGTACCATGGAAAGGTCACGTGATTTAGTGGTAGGGAAAAAGATGTAGAATAACATTTTTTAAATGTCACCCCAGATCAGTAAGACAACAGTCTGAAAATCCTCAAGTTAAGTGCTGCTTTGCCCTTATTTTCATTTCAACTTACCCACTCCACATTTGAAACCTGCTATTCATCTTGGCCTAATGGTACTAGTACCACTTAAAATTTACAGGTATCAATTTCAAAGTATCTTCCCAGATCTAAGGTACAAATTTATGCCACCTGATAGCCCTTATTTCCTTTTCCTTAAGATCATGAAAAATGGTATTTTATGTCAAAAATAAAATATTATGTTGTATTCTCTAATACACCTATTTCGATTTATGGTCCAAATTCAAAGGATATGCTGTGATTTTTAACAGTCAACAAGGAAAATAAGTAACTGCGCACAAATACTCACTGTAATGTTATCCAAGAGTTTGGCCATATGCTTAATTATTTCACCATGGTGTGCTGGCTGGGTTTGCAGCAACTTCTTAATGACAACAACACTTTCAGCAACTACAATTTCTGTTTAAGACAAAACAAATTATTAATTTTAAAAGCATTAATGCAAAAGAAAAAGCCATAAATAACTGATTGTAAGAGATGTTACCAGCTTTCAAAATATGCTTTGCAGAATGAATTTTATTTACTCGGTAACACAGACGTAAACCACTCTACTAAGTAATACAAGCTCAGCTTCCAGAATCAAGTTATAAGCAGCAAAAAGAGAACAGAGAAATGTTCTAAATGTAAAAATGTCATCCTATTACATACTTTTTTGAAATCACTTTTTAGTAAAGCCGCACTTCGTATTTTTCCTTTTCAAATTGAGAAACAGCACTAAAAAAAACTGGTTTTTATTGAAATTATGCATATTCATAAGTAATCTGCTATCCGCATTAAAAATATAAACACTTCTTTAATTTTAAAAGAAATATACAATATTAAAAGTAATAGCTCATTTATAAACAAGAGAAATACCTGAACAGTTCCTTTGCACCTTTTCACCTTCTAAACAGTCCCTCTCAGATCTTTAACCTAATCTCTAGTACATTCAAATGAAGTTTCTAAATAGAAAGCTATTGTAAAATTTATGCCAAAGTCACACACTGGAGCGCTTAACTACTGTAACAAGTAACATTCACAGCCTGATCAACTTGTATGAAATGTAGAATTTTTGAAGCTGAAAAAAACCCACTGGTGCAGAGGTAAGCTTCTATGCAAGAGTAAACTCATGCTGTAAGGAAAGATGAAGGAAAGTCAAACACAGTCAAAGCTGTAACCAAAACAAAGGCCACTGTTAAGAGTTCAAAATAATTGTAATTTTAATTGATACTACAAGAAAAGAGTAAGTATTTCTCTTGAACTATCAATGTTTAAAACAAAGAAAAAGCCCAATTACTATTTGTTAAATAGCCACAGAGGTATTCCTACATTTCAAGAGTTAATCTGACACATAGATCACTCATTCAGCAATTAACCAAACTGAAGTTTCAAAAGAACGGTATGGGGAAGAAATGTCTGAATTTTTTATAACTTTTTTTTTTTTTTTAAGAAAGCAAACTTCTTTGTGGAGAAAGGCTTTTCAAAAGCTTTGAGTATGCATCATTATGCCATACGCCTCTGAAATGCTTAAATTTAGCTTGCAGCTTTTTGTGTCATCCTTTATTTGACATGACATCTCAGTCATTTTTCTAGACTAATTTCTTGAAACAAGGTTAACATGTCTGCTTCACATATGGTCTTGCACAATCCTAGAGATCAATTTTATTTAGATTGTGTTTTACCAGTTATTAAAATAAGAAAACAATTATCAAAATTTTAAAATTACAATCTGGAATATTTAGAATGGGGGACACTGTAATGACAATCTTCATCATTGAGTGCTTTATGATACTATTTAACAAGGAGAATGGTTAAGCAAAATAAAACTGAACCCAAAAAACTGAGTGGGAATGAAGTAATTACTAAAAACATTTGTTTACAGTGAAGAACTGATCATGATGAAATGAAATGCAGTAAATGAAGTGTCACCATAGGAACTACTTTAATACAATCTGTGGGAACAAATTTAAAGAAAAATCAGAATTTAAATTTAAATCAGAATTGTAAGCAAGTAAACTAGTATGGTTCCTTTTACATGAGTTTAGATACCAAAAAAGAAAGTACAAACAAAAGCAAAATGAATTTATATTAGAATAAGGACTGATACAGTCCAGGGAAAAAAAGAGAGGCTCTTTAAGGTTTGCTTTGTGCACATGAAGAATCCCAAAACTGAGCATTAAATGACAGACATTCAGGTTCAAAGACAAAAAAAACCAAAACAAAAACAACAAAAGGAGATATAAAATTGGTCTTCTGAATGAGCAGATGAGCAGTACAAAAATTCAAAAATGTAACTCTGCTAGAATTATCAAAGAAAAAGTGCATATGAGGCAACGATAAATGAAAACAAGAATTTCAAAATAGAATGTAAATTATATTATATCTAAAGGGTTATAAAAAGTAAATAAAATTCTTAAAATAAGGACTAAGTATATTGGAAAATCTGATCAGGAATGATAAAGGAGACTACAGCAGATATCAACAACTTCAGTTTCCACAAGTCACAGTAAAAATCTTAGCATAATGTTCACTGCTGGTTTTCTTAAAACAATTTTGAAGCAATATAGAAATAACTACTCTGAGTAGGACAATCTCTGAAGACCCTAGAGCATAACAGCTTCTCAAAAACTTAAAATATGGTCAGTCCTACAATGTTCCATTTTGCCAAATACTGATGTATATTAAAAAAATTAACAAAGTATTGGACATTAACTTGTTGGGACTGAATTACAGACTTTTTCCTAACTGAGAATCTGTCCACTTTATAACAGAAACTCAGAAAAAGACCTTAGCAAGGAAAGTATTACCAGAGTACATTCAAAAGCTGCATTTTGAAATACTACATTTGATACCATTGATATTGTGTTAAATTTTCTTCCACTTACATTAACTGATAATTGCAGAAACTAAAACATGCAACTGAAGACCAATTTATCCACAGTCTACAATTTGTCTCATCACTATTTCTAAAAGCAGCAAAACAGTATAAACTGTTTTTGGAAGGAATATACCAACTGAATCTCACAGCAACGCTGTACAAGTGAGTATGTGAAATCTCAGCAAATTTGTAGGTGACACCAAGCTGAGTGGTGTGGTTGACACACCTGAAGAATGGGATGCCATCCAGAGGGACCTGGACAAGCTCAGGAAGTGGGCCCATGTGAGGTTCAACAAGGCTAAGTGCAAGGTCTTCCACGTGGGTTGAGGCAACCACCGGCATCAATACAGGCTGAAGGATGAAGGGATTCAGAGCAGCCCTGTGGAGAAGAACTTGAGGGTACTGGTGGATTAAAAGCTGGACATGAGCCAGCAATGTGTGCTCACAGCCCAGAAAGCCAACCACATCCTGGGCTGCATCAAAAGAAGAGTGGCCAGTGCTTGAGGGAGGTGGTTCTGCCCCTCTGCTCAGCTCTGGTGAGACTCCAACTGGAGTACTGCATCCAGCTCTGGAGTCCTCAGCACAAGAAAGACATGGATCTGTTGAAGTGAGTCCAGAGGAGGGCCACAAAAATTATCAGAGGGATGGAGCACCTCTCAAACAAGGAAAGGCTGAGAGAGTTTGGGTTGTTCAGCCTGGAGAAGAGAAGGCTTTAGGGAGACCTTATTGCAGCCTTTAAATACTTAGAGGGGGCTTAAAAGAACAGCCTTTTTAGTAGGGCCTGTAGTGATAGAACAAGGGATAATGATTTTGAACTAAAAAGAGGGGAGTTTCAGACTAGATACAAGGAAGAAATTTTTTACAATGAGGGTGGTGAAACACTGGAACAGGTTCCCCAGAGAGGTGGTAGAAGCCCCATCCCTGGAAACATTCAAAGTCAGGTTGAACAGGGCTCTGAGCACCCTGATCTAGTTGAAGATGTCCTGCTCTTTGCAGGGTGGTTGGACTAGGTGACCTTTAAAGGTCTCTTCCAACCCAAAACGTTCTATGATTATTTAGGTTATTAGATTATACAAATCATTAAAACTAAAGTTAAAAGGCACTAACTAGAGCTAAATATCCAGACAAACAATACGTTTCTCCTTTTCAGAATTGCCTGAACTCTGAGCTTTTATCTGGTTAATTTTTCCACCCTTAAAACATAAATAACGGAAGTCTGAAACCACATTAATACATATAAACTGACTGCTACAAAGATGGTTTTCTTTTATGTCATTCTAACAGTAATTCCAACAGATAGGTAGTAGTTTTGTGATGTATTAACAATTCCAGTGATTTTATGACTTGCCTGTTCAAATTTGTATAGATTGGTAGAAAAAAGTTGTTTTAGGTATACATCCTACAATTGTGTTTACATTCTCTTATTATCCATAACCCACAAGTTTCAACAGAAAATGTCAGAAAAACTTCCAGGATCTCTAGTACATACAGTACAGACAGACAATAGAGAATTCCTATAATCCCATCTGCTTCTTACATCTAAAATGACTTTTATGTCATAGTGGGGCCAGCGGTCAGTTCAAATTATCAAGGCAATTGCTTAAAGGAAATGCATCAGTCAAATGTCACACTGAAAAGCCAAAATAACTTTTCTTTTTGTAATTCCTTCAGCAGACAAAGAAGGAAAATAATTCTCAGCGCTCAACATGGCTTCCAGAAACAAGGCTCTAGGGAAGTCGAGAACTGCTCTTGAAATTCTATCTACATATTTATGAGTGTTTAGTTAAAGTCAAGTTTTCCCTACTCAGGGAAGTTGGGGGCTACAGTAAAAAAAACAAAAAAACAACCCAAAAAACCCAAACAAAAAACCCCACAACAATAAATCAAAACACTTGAATCGCAGAAGTACATACAAAAACTAGAAAGTTCAATGATGAGACACTCAAAGAGCTTTGTGAAGAGTTATCCCAGCTGTATCTGACTACTGAAGAGATTGTTTTGTGTAATGACACTCTCAGCACACAGGTTCCAGAATTATATATGGCACAGCTCCTGTGCCAGACACAGCCAAGATATTTTGGCTGTTGGGTTTTGTCTACAGTAAAGGTCTTTCCAGAACAAGAGCATAGAATTAGAAAGTGGTTTTGCCAAAAGCTCATTCTTCAGGATTCTTTTTTGATTTGGTAGAATTAATTTGGTCACCTCTCTACCAGTCTTAAGTGAATTCCCCATAGTACGTAAACAGTACAGAGAAAGCTGAGCTGACTCTGCTTTCAGGGACCTCAGAATCTGCTGGAGTTACCAGCTCAGGCTTCATACTATGCAAAGGCACCAGAATAGCTTCCAGGCTTCAAACAACCATGGAAGAAGTAGCATGGCAAACAGATTGCTTGCACATTTGAAGGGTGAAAGTTGGAGGAAAGCAAGATTAACCAAGACTCTTAAACTCTTATGTTCAGTACGCTGTGACTATCGATAATTTCCTGCTACCTGAGGAAAGGTACCATGTAAATTACGCCACTCTATTTATTCCGTGAAAGAAGGAATAAAGACACTGCAGGAATGGTAAGGCAATTTGCCAGCTGCCAGGTTTAAAAGATCCTCAATATATCCTTTGCAGTCTTTCAGAACACTAAGCAAAAGAAGATAATTTTATTTGCCAGATAACTACTCTGAAACAGTCAAGAAAACTAATCTGTTTGAGACAGATCTTTGTATACATACACATGCATATGTGTATCTGTGTATATGTATATATGGAATTACTGTGAAGAAAACATTAAATTGAGAAGCTATGATAAAAGAAAAAGTATTTTCCTCTTATCTTGGTTCCTTCTTAGCAAAAAGAAAAACAAAGCAAGAAAATAGAAAGGACTATAAGGAACAAAGTCAATATTCTGAAGTGACAGTTTTATTATTCTATTTAAGACAGAAAAAATTGGGGATTTTTAGATGCTGAAAGAAGCCTACTGACCTAGAGAAGGATTGCTAGTAGAATTAAGCAGAATCAAGAACAAGCTTTGAAGCTCATATTTTTATTATGGTAATTGCTGAATGTAATTAAAAAAGGTGCACTGTGCAGACATAGCCTTGTAACACAACACACGAAGATATTTTAAACATAGTTGATAACTAGAAAAGCATAAAGGGACACAAGGTTTGGAGGACCAGGAAATTAAAGTTACATATATTAAAATTATCAAGGTATACACTGAGGTGTCTCAGGAATTTCTGATACAAGGTGAAGTGGGAGAGAAGGAGGACTCGTAGTTCATAAACCAAAGACGAGAAAGCTCTGAGTGTATCAGTGGATCACAGGATGAGTATGTACTGTCAAAGTGATGCCCCTAATAAAGGCCTTCTTAGAATTACCATGAAAAATATGTCCAGTAGATATGGAGAGGAATTAATGCCACTTTTCAAAGCTTAGAGTAGATCTCACCTGTGTTCACTGAACAATTCTAATTACCCCAAGCTACCTCAAAACCACACCTTTCCTCCTTCCTGATATTATTTTTAACTACATCTTTTTAACTATATTTCCAACATTTGACCATATTTATGTATATTGCATGTTATATAATAATTTTCCAATTCTCTTATTGACTATTTATGTACATTCATTGATAACTAGTAAGAATACAGAATATCATCAGGTCACTGATTTACAGTGGCACTATACCCTATTTGACTTTATCTGCTCCTTGTTGCGCTCCTTAGTGACTTGCAACTGTTTCATTATATAAAAATAACAGAAGGCTAGCTTACAAAATCAAGCCAAATTTAGGGCCATTTATCCTAAAACTATTTAATATGGGTTTTTTTCAGTTAGGCATTGACAGACTAAAAAAAAAATCCAAGCTTTGAGCACCCTCTACAGGCTAACTGTTTTGATGCAACTAAACATGACAGTAAAACTAGTCATCAATGATACAACAGCACACCAGTAATTAGAACATTTTGAGAAAACATTTAAACATAATTGCAAGCCACAAGGAATTAACTTCACTAAAAAAGAGAAAATAAATACCCAGTGGTTATAAGAGCCTTTTGAAGTGCTTACAAGAAGAAGCACTAGTCATGGCAGCTAAATTCTTATGAAAGTCAACTCCCATATACTTTTTAATGGGATCTGCTCTGTGTGCTTTTCGTTAAGAAAAGGCCTGATGCCATCAGCTACTCAGAAAAGAAACAGAACATTTAGCTTACCATTCCTGTTGGAGAGCAAACATACAAGGCCACTAAGACATGTGTCAGTCACCTCGGTGATGTTAGTTGCACATCTGCCTATAGCCTGAATTGTAGCTGCAGCAAACTGTTTATCTTGGCTTTTCACGTAAGTCTGAGGAAAGAGGATTTCCGTTAGTCAATATGTAAGTTTTATCAACTACAGACTTACCAGATTATCCTCATATGACAGACAAATTGTATAATAAGTACAACCCAGAAAGCTACATTGCACATTAGAAATTACACTTTTTTAACCTTATTGTCACTTCCAGAATACATTTTCTTGCTGGCTTTGGTTACTCATGGCCATGCAAACCTCTAATTTCAAGAAAGCTTGGGGCAGGGAGCAATTACCCAAAACCAGCAATTAGTTTGTGCGCAAGGTTGGAGGAGCTGATGAGGTACCTCTTCAGAGAGGTTTCAGTTCATTTAACTAGGAGCATCTGTGAAACTATGAATAACCTACCTGCCTGAGAACCAGTACCTTTCAGAGAAATCCAGCCAGAGAACTGAAGCAATGAAAATAGATGTCATAAGCAAAGATGAAAGAAAGAAAGATAGACACTGTTTCACAACATAGGCAGAACATCTTGTTGCTACATATACAGATACTTGAGATAATACTATTTCAGCAAATGACTTAAAGAAATAAAATTTGGCAATAAATGCTAATGGCCTAATACTGCTAAAACTAAGACCCTATCATCTAGTGACTTAGAGTGTCAGTGAAGTTGGTAGAATTTGTTTTAAAGAATCTGGGATTATTGTTTTCCTCATCACTTTTTTTTTTTCTTTGGTAGCTGAAAAGAGAGTTAAAATTAAAACACTGAAACTCCTTTCCACATATAAAAAGTTCCATTATGATATGAGACAGTTTCACTTCCATTTCAAGAACATTTTATTGTGGAAAAGACTTTAACTTAAATAATTTAGGACTAAGAATCTAGGTGAAACATCCAGTAATGGTAATTTGCCATCAGAGAGCATTTCATATAGAAAGAATACACTTTTGCACAAACCTGAAATTCTCGAAGTAGAGTTGATATGTTGGCTTCATTTGCTAAATTTGTCAAGATTTCAAGCTATAAGAAAAAAAAAATCAGGTATTTTACCAAAAGCTAAAATAAAATATTGTAAACAGTACCACATATACGCTACACTTTCATTGTATATAAAGAAAAGATAATACTATTAAAAATACCACTCAGAATTCAATAGAATAAATGAGATTTCAGTATAAACTGCACTAAGGAGGAATATTCCCTTGCAAGTACACACAAAGTTTTCAAAGCAGGACTCTAGGGTTCAGTGATGCATTTTCTATGAGCTCCTGCTTTAGTGCCACACTGCATATCAAATGGGTTTGAATACTTCTAGCAGCATGGTTTCCAATGTTATGTAACAGGCCTTGGTGCATAAGAACCTTGTGACACTAGGAAGAAATAACAGAAATCACAATTGCAGCTGGGGAGAAATTTTATTATTTTCCATTATATTCAGATGATATGCAATAAAAAAACCTTTAAACTAGGAAAGAAACAGTTGCATCTATGAGACTCCTCAGATCTTAATCAACATCAACAACATCAGACCCTGAAAGGCCTCTTCTTTGTTCCTGATGAAAAGAGGATGACACTTGGCATACATTGTTAAGATGCTATGCTTCCAGGCTGTTTTAACTTTGAAGAAGAAAGAATTCAAATACAATCTGAATGAGGTAAACTAAAGAAAAAGTAACTTTGTCTCTGTAAAGGGAAATCATGCCTCAGAAATCTGTTGTATTTTTTGAGTTGGATGCATGTAAACAGAACACTTAATTGATACAGTCCACCTGCACTTCTGAAAAAATTTGGTAAGACCTGTCAAGTCTTAAAGGCTCTTAAAGATACCTACCTGGCATAGCATACAAAGCAAGTGGATAAATGAAAGAAAGAAACAGGCAGGGAAAAAAAAAAGACTGTTTTACAGTTCAGGAAGGCTATCAATGGAATCTTACAAATATTTTTTGTTTTGTATCTTATAAAAATCTTACAAATATGTCTTTTGCTTTTCAACATATTCACATATAAACTATTAAAGTAATGAGCAGAACAAGTGAAAAAGTTTTCAGCTGATACTACAGTTTTCAGAGAAATTAAGACAAAGTCTGACTATGAAAAGCTGCATAGAAACTTAAAATATTAGGTGATAGGTCGATAAAATGGAAAAAACAATTCAACACAGATAAATGTAAAATAATCTCCATAATTGGGGAAATACCTTAACTTTACAGAAGATTAAGGCTTTGAGCTGATTACTACTAATTATAACTGAGAATCTGTGCTTCCAATAGGTAACTCCATGAAAGTATGAGCTCAGTGCTAAGCAGTGATCAGAAAAGCAAACTTGATGTTGGGATAGAAACAAAGAACAAAGCAGAAATCTAAACAGTTCAGGAGATGAATTCCCATGTGCTCCTACATCTTAAATACTGCCATAGGTCTTGTCCTCCTATCCCAAAGCAGACAGGATGGAACTTACAGGGGTATGGGGTGGACAAAAGCATGAGATTTTCTTATGTATGTAACAGTGTAGGTTGTCCTAAATTCTTTGGCCACCAAGAAAGAAGTGAGGCAACGAAAGAAAAAAAACACCATTTCTATTTCTCCACCTCTTCACCATTGTATAATTAATTAAAACTGGAATTTAAATATACCAACTTCCAATTATTTCAGGAGTGACTTTTCCTGGATAACACTAAGTCTTAGCAGTATTCCCAACAGTTTTCATGATCATTAAATGTGGGGAAGATCTTTTTGGCCTCCAACTGCCTCAAATTTACATAGGTTTAATGCTGGACTAATAAAAATAGGATGGGTTTGACACAGTCATCTTGGACTGCACCACTCTGCCATGTAATGAGGTGCAACATGGATGTAAAATGAAAACAAGGAAAAAAATAATTTTTCTTTGAGAAACTTGCACCTTCCGCTCCTTAACACAAGTGCCTATGACAATCTAAAGCAAATCAAGAGAAAGGGCACATAATAGTAGATAATTTTTAAGTTATTGTTTTGCCAAGGATTTAATGTCTATTAAAGACTAAGAATAGAGAAGAAACAAGAAGATAACAGCCTAAAACACACATTAAGATGCAGCCTTGAGGAAAGCCTAAAGTACCTCTTGTGTCAAATGCTGACTTCAAAGGGAACTTGGGACACTGTCCCATTTTGTTCAGGGAAACTCGTTTTAGCTAATAGTATCAAAAACTATGTGATTTCATTTCTCTCCATTTGAGAAGATTCTCCCTCCCATGAAAACAGTAAAACCCTAAATGTTTGAATGGTTGGTTAGATAAAAATAGTAATGCTCTATCACTGAAAGGTGCCAAAAGTTGTAGTGGAAAACTCAGCCCATCTGCCATCTACAACACAGTAACAACAGAACTTTCAAATAGCCTGACAAGCCTGAAGGACACTCATGGACTTCAATAAAAGCCACAACTGTACACTTCTTACTGAAAAAAAAACAGGAACAGCACAGAATGATGTGTGTCATATTAGTGCAAGAAAATACTACCTTCCTGGTGCGAACAGATTTGTCCAGCAGTGTTTAGACAAATTTACTTTTAAACTCACCTTCAGTGTTTTGATCATTGTTGGATCAGTTGATCTAACATAGAAACTCTTCAGATATGGTTCAAACATGCCCTGAAAAGCAGAACATATTTAAGTAGGTTGCCTGTGTTTCTTATAAAATGTGATTTAGAAAATTCTAAATAGGGTATACCTTTCTCTGAATTGACATAGTGGCAATATTTTGCAGAACAATATACTGCACCTCCCTAGAATTTGAAAAGAAAAACAATAGTTATTCTGCAAAATTACAGATACATAGAATAACAGAACATGGCAAAGTCTCATTCTATTATACATTTGACTTCGCACAAACAGAGAAGGAAAAAGCTTACTGTCTCCTGTGACTTAAGAGTATACACTGCCAGGCATACAAATCTATCAAAAAAACCCACTTCAACATAATAGACTTTGACAAGTTACAGACAACAGAATTATGTAAGATTTTCAACACAAAATCATTAAACATGTTTGGAGGATATTGTCATCATTAACGTGTTAGTGTAAAAGCTTCAGC